TTACTTACGTTTTAATTAGAACTAGTATATATATATATATATATATATATAATTACGAAAAGAAAAAAAAATCATAAAAATAAATCGAAGAGATAATTAACCATTCTTCCATTTCGCGAAACATTGCGAAATAACCTTAGACACGGCTCGTGCACGATAACCGATTTATTAAAATCGGTTTACTGGTCACGATAATGCTTATCTGTCCGATACCGTTGAGGAATACGATTCGGTGAGAGAAATAATAAAATCGGGGGCGGAGAAAACGAGAAAAGTTGGTTTTTACCGTGGGATAAATCTGCAGCACGGGAAATTCCCGCTTGTACAAGTATTCGACGTCTTTCTTCAACGAGCAACCAGCCGGGGTCCCGTCCAGATTGTAAATGTTATCGCACGCGCTGGTCCCATCGACGCCGACGAACGGCAACGGTACGCCGAGAACAGCGGCGTTCACAGAGTTCACCAAGGACGCGACATCTTTGCTCGGGACGAACTTCTGCTCGACCGACGCCTTCGTCCTACGTTTCAGTTTGCACGGTGGTACGTCGCAGCCGGTTATCCTAACCTGATTCGAATCCTCGAACTTCTCTCCTGCAATCAATCATTTTTCTTTTTTTTCTTCTTTTCTCTCTTCCTTCCTCCCTCCCCCCTCCCCTCCCCTACAGATTACAAAAGTGGGTCTGTCTCTGCTGCGTGTGACGCAATGCGTACGCTCTCGGTCGTGGCAGCCGATACGATAATTCGCATTGATATTCGAACGACGTGAATTCAAACACGATGACGTTCACAGTTCAGAGATTATTGCTCCGTGTATTATTATTGTTATGTTTGCTCGTTGTAAACGTCGATGAATCGCGATTCGTTCGCGACAACGATTAAATAATGAGAAGAAAATTTAACCGTGGGAAAGAAAAAAAAAGAAAAAAAAAAAAAAAGGGAAGAAATAATATCGGGGCGCGATGATTTAATCGGTGTGTTCGTTTCATTCAGCTAAACAACGCTTGTTCACAAATTGTTCGTTATAAAATGTGTTTGGCATTTCCCTCCGTCGCTTGAATATTCATTGCGTTATATTCGTTTAATATATCTCCCGTTGTGCGAAAAAATTATGTGCGCAGCGAGTAAATAAAACGTATTACTTTTTTTTTTTTTTTTACTATCATTACGTATAATTTGTTTGAATAAAAATATTCTTTGACAAGACAGACCAAGGCTTTTCTGCTCGTGGTTACATAATTGAAACACGCGTCGAAGGATTTCTTCTTCTTCCAGGAATTTTTCTTTTTTTTTTCTCTCCTTCTTTTTCTTTTTTTTTTTTTCTCATCGAACAGCCACAAAGGAATATATATGCGTGTGTTTATATATTTTTTTGATATTTTTAATATTTCGTAGCGTCGAAAACGCACGTTGCCAATATTAACAAAAGATTCCATTCGACCTGGTTTCGAACTGGATAAAAACCGAAACGAGCCGGTCGATCGTTTACTTACGCGCGATCGGCACTTTGCATAATAATGAAGAAAAAAAGAAAAGAAAGAATAAATTAATCTCTCGAATATATAATCAACTCGCGCGTACGGAATCATCGTTGAAGGAAAAAGGCGGTTGACCGAACCAACGAACGAAAATCAATTTGCATTTTTCAATTCTGTAAAAAGATGTTATCTGTATTTTTTTCAAAACATCTCAAGTTTCGTCCATGGTAAATAATCCACGAAAATATTATGCAAAATAGACGTAATAGATCGCGTGCACACAAAAAATATAAGAACATACGATCGATGAGTCAATGTAAAACTTGACCGCGGAATGTAAACGAGAGAACGTCGATATACACGCGCGTATACACACACACACACACACAGACACACCACACACGACGAATCGTATTTAAATATGCGAACGATCGCCGCCGGACACGATTTTTATTATATACTCGCTTCGAAAACGACGAGCAGTGATAATTCCTTGGTCGACGAGGGGATAATTCCCTGAAGACGGATATTATTTTATTTATCAAACGAATATTCACGCTTTCGAAGAAGATACATTTCGAGGGAATAACGAAGAAAGGAGAAATTTGTACACTCTTCTACTCACCGGTGCCGCAGTGATTAACCTCGGTGGCACAGACAACTACGAGCAGAGCTACGAAAACGAGAATGGTTCCCCTCATCGTTCACCGGTGAAAGCGCGGTCGCGTTTACGTGGACGAGGAAAAGGAGAAAGGAGAGGAAAAATAAAAAAGAAGAAGGAGTTTCAAGGAAATTGAAGAAGAGGTCTCTCGATCGTCCTCGCTCGCTTCGATCAGGTCCAGATCCGGCTCTCGACTGGTCGGGTGTCGCCACGGGAGGATGGTAACGTTGTGATCGGTCATTCGTCAAAGTTCACTTTAAATAGATTCCCCTCCCAGAGGAGGAGGAGGAGGAGGAGGAGGAAGGCGGCCTCCTCAAGTGGGGATGGAGGAGGGAGAGAGAGAGAGAGAGAGCGTGGAAGTGGAAGGGATTCCGTAAATTTATAAAACTTTGAGAAGGAAGTTGTCCTAGAGACAACGCGACGTGTAGCTCGCAAGATGAATCGTGCGAGTCGCGTTGGCCGAGGAAAATCGGACGAATTATTTCCTTTCGAGGATGGACACCTTCTTCTCGAGGAATTATACTTCCAAACGCTTCAATTTCTTCTTTTTTTTCCCCCCCCCGTCGGTTCGAATCATCGTGGCACGAACGGAAATGAAACGAAGCGGCACGAAGAACAAAGCACCGGAAATTAACAACGCTCTTACGCTCCTCTGGTCCCACTTCCAATGAAATTCCCACTTACTCGCGGGAACGACCTCCGATTAATGTCCTCCCTAGATATTTCGATACTTAGGTTAATTCTAACCTAACCTTTCTCTTCCTTCCCAACGAAGATTTCGAACGAATTTCGTTTCAACACGCTTTCATCGTGGATTGTTTCACGTATCCAGATATGAAAAAATTCAAAAAGGAAGAAGCACGCTTTGTGCGATTCTTCGAAATTATTCCTATACGTTGATCTCTCTCAGACCCATAAATGTTTCCACGTAGATTATATACGCGCGGATGGTCTCACTTTGGATCGTATTACCGTTGACTTTGAAGATAAACAAATACAAGGAGAAAGAAAGAAAGAAAGGAAGGAAGGAAGGAATAACAAGTGTCACGTGTCAGCCTCGTCCATCGAGTTTGAAACGTTCTTACCTGATCGAAATAACGAATAACGCGTGTGATACGCGCGAAAAACGAAATGCAGCTCGCGAAGTGGAAAGTCGGCCGGAATACAAACGAGGAGAAGAAATTATGGACGGGAGGCGACCTTGAGGAAAGTCCTCGAACGGCACTTCCTCGTGCGTTGATCGATGCAGCCTGACGCGTTTCACCCTGAATCGTGTCGCGACGTACTTCTCGTTCTTTTTATCTCGTTTCCAAACAATATTTTTGATCGTAGGTGGCGCAAAATTTGGAAATCTGCCTGGAAAACATGCGTTCGTCAAAGAAGAAGAAGAGGAAAAATAGGAGGAAAGGAGGATTTTCTGTCGTTGAAGAATCGGGGACGATAATAAACGCGCAAATAAAAATCACGTTTCGTGACATATCACGATTCTTGGAAACGCGGCGAGAAGAGAGAGAGAGACAGAGAGGGAGAAAGAAAGAAAAAAGGAGAAGAGAAGGATGAACAACGTTGCGAAAAAATGATTACGCGCATGCGGGGAAGGATCGACTCGCCACCGGTTTTTTGCGCCCGCCATTTATCGGTTAGAAGTAATTCCGCGGTCAATTTCCTTGACGCTCGCCAGCCAACCTTCCGGATCCACCACACGGATCCTTTTCGCTCGCCCATAATTGCGCCGCCTCTTTGCTTCGTTAAATACTTCGTGCGCTGCTATAATTTCGCCACCGAGTAAAAAGCCACGGGTTTTTTCCTTCCTTTTTTCGCTCGCGTCTCGAATCTTCCTCGAGGCGTCGCGTACTCGCTGCGCGATACGTGTCTATTATCCGTGTTGTTTTGCGCGAGTGAAAATCGTCGCGTCAGCGACGATAAGTTATATTTTAAAGTAAAAAGTCAATGGAAATCATGGAAAATTCATTCTCGATAAACTTCGAGAATCGAGAGATCATTATTCTTCGCCAAATCGAGCAAAATCGTGGAAAATTTCGAATGGAATTCTGTGAATTTTTTTTTTTTTTCTTCCCCTCGTTCGTCGAAAAATCTGTTCAGTATTTACGACATTCCACTCGCGTATGGATGGACAATTGTATGTATGTGTAATTATCCGTTGCGTGGATGAAGGATGAAAAATGTTGAATATCCGAGCGAAAGAATTCGCGATATCGAACGGCTATCGTGAAAAGCGATTAATTTTTTTCCATCTGCCCTTCGCTCGCGCGATACGAGGAATATCGAGAGGTGGATATCTAAGTAAGATCTCTGTTCCGCCGTGTAGCTAGCTTCTTGAAAGGCAATTATCTCATTTCGACTAATTAGAACGTGGTACGAGGGGCTAACAGGCTTTTATCAGCCAAGTTGCTGCGTCTTAATTTTCTAACTTTGAAACTTTGATCCTCGCTTGAAATATTTACGAAAGGAGATAGGAGAGGAAGATATGCACGGTGGAATAATAGGGATAGAATCGGAAAATTGAATGGATTTATAGGGCAAACAAATTGATCGAAAGAAGAACGAATTGATTTTCGCATAGATAGGCAAACTGTGTAATTAGAGAAGTATAGATTTTTGTGTCGCAGTAGCAGATACGATATCGCTTTCATTGCGGTTCAATGAATTGCGTATTGCTAACTTGCGTAAACACGACGCTATTTCGCACGTGGAAAATCGTACGGAAATTGCGTTATTTTCCAATATTCGTCGAGAGGAGACGACGAGTCGTTGCGATTGTCCACGATACTTTCGTTACGTTGGATTGCACGATGGACGAGAAGCAGGATTAACGCTCGATATATTTTCACGATTCGTGCATCGGGATTAAAATCCCTATTTTCGTTTCGATCAATCTAAAGTAACCAATCTATAAGATTAAAACGAATTTTACATTATCTTTACATCAAAGATTAAGCTGTAATTTTGAAAAGTAAGAGGTAACGTATGGAAACGTATTCGATTGATCTCGTATCCGTACTTTGTATCGTGTGTGGTCACGCACCAAGAACAAGTATGACAAAGAGAGCAAATAGTGCGAGAAGGACAAAGATAGGATAAAAATGTGGAAATCAGCGCCATCTTCAGAGTGCCGCAAATGAAACTCACATCGGACAAGGAGAGAAAATAAAGAGAGAAGGATAGAAATAGGGTAAGGATTGACTGCTTGCACCATCTCTGGAACGACAACGGTACTAATTAAAAGATACGATAAGGTAGAACGGGGAAACGACACTTTTAGAAAAAAATATTCTCGAGAGATGGCGCCAATACTCGATTCTTACTTATCTTTGGCGATCAAGAGATGGCGACGACGATCGATTCCTAATCTATCTCTATCCTCCTCCGATCATTCGCCATCCTTCTCTAACGAGTTTCATTTGCGACACTCCAAAGATGGCGCTAATTTCAATATTTTTATTCCACGTCCATCCTTCTCGCGCTACTCGTTCCCTCGTCATACTCGCACACAATTCCCACAAAATTTATACGAAGCTCGAGACACACAGCTTCGACATCCTATCAACTCTATCTCAATTGCCTCCCTTTTTCTTCTTTTCTTCATTCCCTCTCTCTTTCATTCTTTCTTTTTTCTCCATTCAAAAATAAACTACCCATCGATGGAAAAAACAATTTTTTGATTTATAGCGGTCGTGTGCATCCGGCATGGAAAGGTATCTGGGACGCTCGACGGGTGACCGTCGTCACAACACAAAGAAAAAAGCTTTTTACGAACGTCACCGACCGACGTTAAAGTATCCACCCATAAAAAGAAGAAGGAAAAGAGGAGGAGGAAGAAGGAAAAAACCAAATACTACTCACCGATCTCTCGAGAGAAACGTTTTAAACGCGTTTAAACCGATGATGACGCATCTCGCGATTCGGAAAAGATCGATGAAAGTGTGTCACCGACCTACCCGTGTGTGTTGTTGCCGCGACGGATGATTCGTTTCGTCGGAGCGTATCAAACGTTTCCACCAAACTGTCCGAATATCCGGTAGCGTTTTGAACGATTTGCGGTTTGCAGTTGCACCGGGTCCGGGCTCTATTCTTGAACGGGATGTATTTATAACTAACCTTACCTTTCCTGGTCCCAACCGTACGTGCCGGCGCTCAAATGCATTGCGCGACCGTCTCAACCTCTTTCCAAATCCACTATCGATCCGGCCTCTTTGTAACACGTTTCCATTATTCGTTTGTTCGGCCGTGGAAAAATTCGAATTCCCATCCATCCGTATCTTCCACCGTCGGATCCACAACATTAATTTCCCGTCTCTTTAATGTCATCTCTCGGAAGAACGTCCGGCCATTTTCGATCGTTGTTCGAACGAGGGAGGGAGGTTGCCTCGTTTCATGAAAGTAAAATCGGGTGGCGTGTCCCGAAGCGAAATCGCGAAACAAACGGAACCGTCTGCCAACGATTCCCGGGATAATCTCGGAAAAGCGGGATAAATAACCAGACGGCTCGTAGACCGAACCGTTTACTTCGTTTATATTTGGATACCGATGCATTCTGCGATCTCCCTCGCGTTTCGCATCGCGATCGCCGATCTCCCTCGAAAAGAGAAAGCCACAAGCGAAATCCTTGGAAAACGTGTAGAAATTTTCTACATTGTACGGGATAGAGGACACGATTCTTTCGATTCTATAATTCACAAACTACACGCAAAGTCGAAATGGATTCCTCTGGATGGAAGCCTTGATATCTCACACGAATTTCGTTCCCACGTCACGCGGATGATGGCGTCCCGCGTCACGTGATACTCTTGTTTTCACTGATCGACCTTCGTTCACTGGCTCGAAGAGCTGTGATGAAAAACGGAACATGGCTGCGGGACGAAAGCGAAGAAAGGAAGCATTTCCCCGTGGGACCGGTTCGAAAACGCGTTTTTTCAACGACGAACGTCATATTTTATATATATATTGGCTCGCCTCATCGATGGGGGGATATTTCTTCTCATCCTGGGAAAGCGAAAGGAAGTTACTTTTCTTTTATTCCGTTCATTTTTCGAATCACGGCATTCTATTCCCGTATTTCAAATCTTTTCCACCTCCCCCTTTTGAAACGCATGCAAAATACGCGAAAGCAATTGGAGGGTCGGTCGAAATCAACGTGTTGCAGTTATGGCGAAAAAAAAAAGATGGGGTGTGCGTTTAAAACGAAAAGGAAAGGAAAGAGAGGAAAGGAGGGAGGGTTTCGAGAAAAATCTAGAATCGA